AGGTTTGCACACACAGTAGCTGGTATTTTGGCCCATTCCTCCATGCAGATCTTCTCGAGAGCAGTGATGTTTTGGGGCTGTCGCCGAGCAACACGGACTTTCAACTCCCGCCACAGATTTTCTATGGGGTTGAGGTCTGGAGACTGGCTAGGCCACTCCAGGACTTTCAAATGCTTCTTACGGAGCCACTCCTTTGTTGCCCGGGCGGTGTGTTTTGGATCATTGTCATGTTGGAAGACCCAGCCTCGTTTCATCTTCAAAGTTCTCACTGATGGAAGGAGGTTTTGGCTCAAATCTCACGATACATGGCCCCATTCATTCTGTCCTTAACACGGATCAGTCGTCCTGTCCCCTTGGCAGAAAAACAGCCCCATAGCATGATGTTTCCACCCCCATGCTTCACAGTAGGTATGGTGTTCTTGGGATGCAACTCAGTATTCTTCTTCCTCCAAACACGACGAGTTGAGTTTATACCAAAAAGTTCTACTTTGGTTTCATCTGACCACATGACATTCTCCCAATCCTCTGCTGTATCATCCATGTGCTCTCTGGCAAACTTCAGACGGGCCTGGACATGCACTGGCTTCAGCAGCGGAACACGTCTGGCACTGCGGGATTTGATTCCCTGCCGTTGTAGTGTGTTACTGATGGTGACCTTTGTTACTTTGGTCCCAGCTCTCTGCAGGTCATTCACCAGGTCCCCCCGTGTGGTTCTGGGATCTTTGCTCACCGTTCTCATGATCATTTTGACCCCACGGGATGAGATCTTGCGTGGAGCCCCAGATCGAGGGAGATTATCAGTGGTCTTGTATGTCTTCCATTTTCTGATGATTGCTCCCACAGTTGATTTTTTCACACCAAGCTGCTTGCCTATTGTAGATTCACTCTTCCCAGTCTGGTGCAGGTCTACAATACTTTTCCTGGTGTCCTTCGAAAGCTCTTTGGTCTTGGCCATGGCGGAGTTTGGAGTCTGACTGTTTGAGGCTGTGGACAGGTGTCTTTTATACAGATGATGAGTTCAAACAGGTGCCATTCATACAGGTAACGAGTGGGGGACAGAAAAGCTTCTTACAGAAGACGTTACAGGTCTGTGAGAGCCAGAGATTTTCCTTGTTTGAGGTGACCAAATACTTATTTTCCACCCTAGATTTACGAATAAATTCTTTACAAATCCTACCATGTGAATTCATGGATTTTTTTTTCACATTCTGTCTCTCACAGTTGAAGTGTACCTCTGGTGCAAATTACTGACCTCTGTCATCATTTTAAGTGGGGGAACTTGCACAATCGGTGGCTGACTAAATACTTTTTTGCCCCACTGTAGTTAATGGTGGCAAAATATGGTTGACCACAGCAATCTAGTGACCAAAGCTATTCTAAGGAGGTTTTTGGTGTAACACCCTGTTTGATTGGGGAGGGATTCCAGGTTGCAGTGAATGAAGATACATCATTTCTTTTCATTTTTTTTTAAAATGACGAGTCATTGGGCCATGTCCAATATGGAGAACAACTTGAGCATAATGCACTAAGAAAATGCATAATAAACGTCTACTGTGTATACTATGTAACATGCAGGTAAAATAATGCAATCTTACTCACTGAACTGGATCTTGGATTTTATTTAATTTTTTTTAATTGGCTGTCTCAGAGCGTGCCATATTATTTATCAGATAAGCATTACAAATGCAGGGCTAAAGGAAGGATGTCAAACTCATTTTACATTGTGCCACGTACGGCCTACTTTGAGCTTAAGTGGGCTGGTTGAAATCCCCTTTGTTTATTTAAGAGACTGATAATGTCCTTTTAAAAAAAGATTGTAAAGCATAAAAACGGGATGTTTCTGTGATCTGCTTATCTATTAATTTACTTTGGTATAATCGATGTGGAAGGTCTTTATTAGTAGGAAAAGCTGTAAGTCTTTTCCATAGCTGATTCGGTGGGCTAGCTTGGATTCTTTGGCTGGCCAGTTCTGGCTCCCTGGGTCTCACGTTTGAAGGGTTTCCAGCAAAATGAATTAGCTGAGGTGAAGGCCAGCAGACAGATATATAGCCACCTGTAACGGCATCTATGTGTTAATGAAGCCATGTCTTTAAGCTCAAAGATTGAATTTAAACAGATGAGTTAAAATGGAGACAAAGTGTTTTGGTATGTCTATTTCTTTGTGTTAGCTTCAAATGGCCATTTAAGAAACTGTTTTTGGCACTCCATCAATGGTTTCAGGTGTGTTGTGTTATCAGTTGTTAATTAAGTCTTAAGCAGACATGAAGAGCAGGTAGCAAGTTAGATAACACTGTGCTTCACCCAAAGTTTCCTCATTTTTGAAGTCCTTAGCTATAAGTTGTTTCATCTGGGGGAAAATATTTTTTTTAGTGCTGCACAAGAAATTATGTAAACTGATATAAACTGTTAGAATTTGGGCTAAAGCCAGCTTGCAATCAGTGCATTGGAAGAATGCTCCACCATGATTTATATTTTTCTTCAAAGATCAGCTACTTTTGTCATTTGCCACTTTGTCTGTAAGCAAATTTTGGTGGAAGCTTTAAATCTTCTACATAAGTAGAAAAACCTTTTCCCCCCAGTTGAGGGTGGAGACGGTGCTGGAAACAGATGGAGCCCTTTAGAGACGGGTGTCGACAGGTGTAGAAAGAAACTTGGACTAACATAAGAGATTTATATTGGTGCTCCTGTCAGTAGATGGCGTGGAGTCCAAATGTCATTTTTCAGATCATTAGTTTAGATCAGTACCATCATCTATCTCCCACATAACTGCTTTCACCTGACCAAAAAAACCAAGCAAAAAAAGTTGCTCTGTGAGATCAAAAACAGCTCTGGGAAAGCCCAAATGTTTTGCAGAGTACTTGGAAATGGTCAGGCATCTGATGGTAGCGTTTTCATTAAACTCAGAATGCTGAACTGTAGTGACCACAAGAGGGAGTAGTTTGTTCACAAACTGTCCACGGGGCCTAAATAATGGTGGTTTGGATTTCAGAGTGTGAGATAATGCCCACATCATGATTTATTAAGCAGAAAAGCCAGACTTGTCTGACAAATGAGTAGCTGTTGAACGGCCTGTGCGAGAGGAACCACTCCGTGTAGCTTGGATACCAGGATTGCTGTTTTTTTTTTCCAATGGCTCCGAATCGGTGCAGAGACAGCTGTGTGGTCGAACATGCTGGTTTGATTAGAGAAACAGTGAAAAATCATAAGGGCTATTCGGTCCAGACTCTCCATGTGCTGTCAACAACAAAGCACGGCAGTGAGGAAACAGAAGGCTCCGGCTGTTTGGGGAATTATAGAAGATACAGGATACAAGTCACTGGCTTGGAAAAACTCGATTAGGGGTAATGCTGAACTCTAGAAGGTACCTGACCACCAGGGTTAAGCAGGGGTTATGCAGACAGAGGGTAACTAGCTCTTTGCACGCAGGGGACCCCAATGCACACCACACATGCAAAAGTTTTCCTTAGAAAAATGTCTCTCAGACTTTTGACTGCTATGATTTAACACAGAGAGGAGTCTTGTGGTGGTGGAGGACAAAAGAAGGAATGAAGGGTGATGAATATGTGGCTTTACTGTTGTCCTGCAGGACTGCTGTGCCTGTCATTTAGAAATGAACAATAGCTGTGAAATGCTTATCTATGACCAGGCACCCATCCAATAAAAGAAAAGCTGCTTGACAGGAGACTCAAGCAACCTAAAGGGATTATGGCGTATCTAGATAGGATATAACCATTATATTCCTACTAAGTTCAAGAGGCCAATTTGCTCAGCTATTGCAAGTTTCTATATTTATGTTGTTAGGTTGGGGTCTGTGTGCGGCCAAAGCCCAGTATCCTATTGCAGATATGGTGAAGATGCTGAAGGAACAAGGCAAGACTGTGAGGTTAGTTTGTACACACGTATATACACACACAAGGCAGGACATTCTTTTATCAGTGTGTGTGTGTGAGACAAGTTTTCAGTGAAAAATCAGTGATGTGCTGTAACATCTCCAACAGGTTTGGCATCCACCCAGTGGCCGGTCGTATGCCCGGCCAGCTGAACGTACTCTTGGCCGAGGCTGGCGTTCCCTATGACGTGGTCCTGGAGATGGATGAGATCAATGACGACTTCCCAGGCAAGCTCCGTTTTTAAAAATAAATTCTAGAAAGATCTGTTATATTTACCGTTACACGGCTGTCACTTTGGCAGGGAGGTGTTGGATTAAATTACTCGATTGGTGACTTGTAATAAACGCATCCGTTCCTTTTCATCTGCGCTTGAAGTGGCCACATGTTATGTCTGGATACTTGGATGTGCCAAGTTATTAGGACAACACTCATTGTTTTCTTAGCAACCAGGCACGCAGGCTGACACACATGGTTCTGTTTATGGTGGAGGGAGATTAGTGCAGCGCCGGAGTTTGAGTTCATCCGCCTTGTGCGTAAACGTGTAAATGTTTATGACCCACAGAGACAGACTTGACGCTGGTCATCGGTGCCAATGACACGGTGAATTCGGCGGCGCAAGAAGATCCCAACTCTATAATTGCTGGCATGCCGGTCCTGGAGGTGTGGAAGTCCAAACAGGTTGGTCTGCCTTTATTAGATGAAATGTGTTTGAGGATATGGTACCAAAATAAGAAAAATCTAATCATATACCACCTTCTTTTCTTACTATTACCACCAGGTGATAGTGATGAAGCGTACTTTGGGTGTGGGCTACGCTGCAGTAGATAACCCCATTTTCTACAAGCCCAACACATCTATGTTGCTGGGAGATGCCAAGAAGACTTGTGACAGTCTGCAAGCAAAGATCCGAGAGACCTTCTACTAATTACAACTCATTACTGCCGTGTACAATTGTTAAGAACTTAAAAGTTATTAAAATTTTTGGCATGTGAGATACTTATTTTACAAAAACAAGTTTATTGGGTCTGCAACAAATGTGATTACAGCAGAACACAAACATCATTGTGCACTAATTTGTAAATTAAAATGTTTAACTGTATCAGAAATTCCTTTCTTTGTACTACTACGTACACACTGTCCATTCATGCATAAGAAAATGTCATTCGAGTTCAAAAACTAAAAATTATTTTTCTGCATAATCAGAATCAATTAGCATAAAAAAACACTTCAGCTACAGTGTTTGATGTCTTTTAGTCTGTCCTCTTCAGCATTTTCCAGCAGAGGTTTTGGCTTTGTTAACAATTGAGTGCAGGTAGGAGTAGAAGAAGAGAAGGTTGTCGTATTCTCCGCTGTACTCCTCGTCGAGGCAATGCTCGTGGAAGTCCATGAGAAAATAATATATGGCTTCGATAGTAGCTAGATAAGTGTCCGGCTTGCCCTTTTGATGACGCCAGAAACACGTTTTTCTCATCTTCAACTCTACCTGGAGCAAATCTGGGGGAGAAACACGTCAGTCACAACATCGTGAGATCATGGTAAATTCAATTGTGAGTGAATAATCACCAGCAGTCACGAGTTCTTTGGAAACCCACTCAAATGCAATCTTTCATGATTACCTTGCAGTCTCTCGTCTGTGCTGATCTTATTGGTCTGGTTCCATGTGCTGTCAATGAAGACCACCCTCTGTAGGGGATCCACCTTTGACACTGAGCTTTTTGCTTCATCTGGCGTCCCCGACTCTGAGCTCTCAGAGGTGCGTGTGGAACCTTGAACTTGCTCAGTTTTTAACCTCTTTCTGCACGGTTCATCAGCGGAGTCGTGTGACCTGTCATGTAAACACTTCATCATGTCTTGAACTGAGACGGCCCTCGGACCAGGGAATACCAACACCACCTGGAGCGAGCGAAGACGGAGAGGAACGCCATCATGCAAACTGTGCTGGGGCATAAAATGTGTCTCGAACACGTGTTTTTACAGTGGGGTGATTTATAAAAGGCTAAATTTAGGAAGCAGAGAACAGGATGTAAACTGTTTGACAGGTGAGGGATAAAGTTGAAGAAGTGAAAACACTAAATCAATTGATTTAAATAAATGAGAAGACAAGAAAAACAATACAAATGTATGGCTTGTGGACTAAACTCATTCAGCTGAAATAACAATCTGATTGCATAAGTGCTGTGAGCTTTGAACTGAAGAATGAAGCTGCAGCAAATAAATCTAAATCTTTTAGAAATGTTTCACTGGTTGTTTGCAGACTGGGTAAAAATCTAAGATTTTTATGCTGAAAATAAACAACGGTACAAAATGCAAAAGATAAGCATTTACAATTTGACTTTAGTGGAGAGCAACAGTTTCAGAACATACGCTTAAATTAGATTTCTGCACTAAAATAGAAATGAATACAGTTAATTCAACATAGTATCGAGAATTATTGTAAGCAACAATATAAAGAAAAAGATTAATAGATGCCAAAGAAAATGCTAAGTCAGTGATATCAGACATTGGTTCAAAACTAGCAAAAGCCGCTGCATAATAAATACTCAACTACTTCCATTTGTTTTAGTGTAAAGTAAATTCTGAAAGGGAACCTTCAGTTTACAAAAGGGGAGTGGCTTAACAAACCAAAAAAAAAAAACCCATTCCTCTTAAAATGGTCAGGTATAAAGACTGGACTAAAAACAATGAGTGAAAAAGCAGCCAAAATCCAAAGACAAACTTTGAAAGACCTTCAGAAAGCCTGAAGAACTATTGCTCAATAACAAAAAAATTGCTTTCGTCTTGGAAGAAAAAATGGTGAGTGACTCAAGACTGTTGTATAGAGAGCTCAGTGAAACACACGGGCGCAGCTCCTTTGCGCAATCACCTTTCCTCAGTTTGCTATGGTGGGCTTGTGTAATGTTTTTGTCACTGAGAAAGTTTTTAAACTTACAATGATTCCGACCACTGGATCGGATGAAAATAACAGTTCGCACGATCCCTTTTAGTTCTCGAAGCTTTTAAGTCTTTTTGGTACTAAATACACAGAAAAGTCCAAAAACTACATATGCCGCCCCGCTCTTTATATTATACACTCCAATAAGCCATCCAGCAGGCCTGATGGGATCTTTTGAAGCGCTGTTCTGGCCTGTAGGCCATATGTTTGACACTCATGGATTAGTAGATGAGAGAAAATCACTTTTGATGATCAATTTAACCTCTGTTTCCAAACAAAACATGCCACATGCTTTTCTGTGTTGTGTCATAGAAAACTGAATATGCTATTTGACTGAGTAGTGAAAACAAGACAAGTGAAGATACAAAAAGGTTTTCTGGGAAGTAATTTCCAGATGAATCAATCATAAACGTAATTGTTAGCTGAAGCCACATAAGGTACAAGGCAGACAGCATGTTTTACAGTTAAATAAACTCCATTCTTTCTTTTAGGATAAAAAACACAACTACAAGGATAAAAAAGAACTAACCTTGTCTTTTTGGTACTCAGGTATGCAGGGGTAAGTATATATTGTGATGTCACTGGGTGCGAGAATCTTGGCGTGGATGGCAGTGCTCTTGCCATCTGTCTCGTTGGGATGCTTGATGATGTCTATCTTCACAGGAAGCTGAGTGTAACACACAGTTTGTAAAGTCAGGTCGAGGGGAGAGTTGGATTTCAGCAACATCATGCCAAAATATTTAACGTTAAATAATTTTTAAAAAAAAAGGCATTTTGCAACCAATTAAGACAATGGTGAAGGCCTCTGTTAAAAGACAAAGCAGGTGAGTCCTAACCTCCTACAAACCTTCACTGTGGGGACATCTTGCAGGCTCATGCCCACTAAGGAGCAGCATGTGTAGCAGAAGAACATCCTCGAGCCTCCACATTTAGAGCACTTTAACCTGCCCCTTTGCTGTGCTTCCTCTAGCACTGCATGTGATGCCAATTTTAGCCCTTGGAGCTGCTGACTGGGAAGCTCACGGGAGTCGGATGAATCAGAGGCCAGTGTTTTTTCCCGGCAACTGGGATGATGACGCTGGTCCTGATCCAGGCCGCTCATTTTTGCTCTGTTGACAGACTTGTCTTGGAGCACAAGTACACTCATAGCTGATGAAGAATAACAGAGCAAATAATGCCAATATTAGCAGACATAAATAATCTAACATTTACAAAGACTTAAACTCAAAGGACACAATAACATGGAAAAAGCTAGTTATAGAGCTAAGAGTTCATTAAAATTGTGCGTGACTGGTAATGATTAGATTGGAAAATTTGTTGCTGTGATAGTACGGTGCAGCTTGAATGCTTTTCATCTAAAGAATTTCATAAAACAGAGCATTGTAACTCTTGGAATGAGTAAATCTTTTAAAAATAATGTTTCATTTAACTATTTTATTGTAGCGTCTTATGATTTTACATTGGCCAGATTAGAAGCTAGTATAAATTAATACGAGTGGCAAGATCATCATGTTAGTTCTGCAGTTCTGGTAACTGAATAAGATCACATTATATGACATTACCCATTTCTGGTTCAAATATGAATACGTCAAATTCCCAAACGTCACATTGTGAGCACAGTCACTGAGATAGAAGTTCTTAGAAAACAGAAAACCATAAATCTTGTTAATGGAAATATCTAATTAGTCAATCACATAGCAGTAACATAATCCATTTAGGATAGTAGACATGGTTCCAGAGGACATGAAGATGAGATGAAGTTCAAACCAAGCATCAGAAAGAAGGAGAAACCCATAAAAATGATCACTGAGCTATATCAGAGCCTAAGACAACTAACCAAGTGGGATACTAACTACATTAAAAATAAATGGGAAGAAAAACTGAATACAGAAATTTCGCAAGAGGGTTGGCACTCAATGCTGAAAGCACAGCACACCTCGAGGAGCTCCAAAAATTGGAGAATATTTGGCTGGAAATGCTTAGTTCATTTTTTCATCACACCAAAAATAAGGAGCAAATTCTGAGAATCATTGGAGCTCTGCTGGAGGCAGTGTGGGAACCTGTGTGCCAATCACACCTATAACTTTTAGACATGTAATAAAATAAAGCCATTTTGGGATCAGATTTACATGGAATTGTCTCAATTACTTGGATATAAATAGCCCAAAGTGTGAAAAAACTTCCCCTGAATAAATGGGAAAAAATTGACTTCCTATCTTTAAGGGTCTGGGGATAGTGAGGATAAGAATTACTTATGATATGTACTGTACAAATCATGACACGAACTGGTGAGCACCATGGTTTTGTTTGCCGTTCTGGATTGTGTGTTGTTATAATGAAAATGATACATAGAAAGAAAGAAAGAAAGAAAGTTTGAAAGAAAGAAAGAAAGTTTGAAAGAAAGAAAGAAAGGTCATTTAAGTGCCTTTGAACAAGGCATGGCTGTTGATGCCAGATGGGCTAATCTGAGCTACTGGCGTTTAAAGACAATAGGAAGAAAAGTGTCAGTTCTGTAAATGTCTTGTTGCTGCCGAGGTCAGAGGAGAATGGCCAGATTGCATCAATCTGATTGCAAGGCAAGAGTAATTCATTAACCACTCGTTACAACCAAGGAATGCAGAGAGCATCTCTGAAGAAACATGTTGATGACTACAGTAGCAAAGGACCACATCAGGTGCTGCTCCTGTCTGCTAAGAGCAGGAGACTGAGGCAACAACTGGTAAAAATTGAAGACTGGAAAAATGTTGCATGGTCTGAGTCTCAATTTTCAAATGGTAGGATCACAATTTGGCAAAAACAGCATGAGAGCATGGATCCATCGTGCATTGTATTAACAGTACTGGTATTGGTGTAATGGTGTGGGGAAGATATTCTTGGCAAACTGGGCAATCTGTAGCGACTGCGAATCAAAAGTTTACATCACCTTGATGAATCGATGACACGTAGAATTAACGCACCTCTGAAGATTAAACTAGCAGGGTGTGCCTAATCAAGGGGCCAGTGATTGTATGTACATACTGTTGAATTTCTGATAAACATGGGGGATCGTAAGCATCAGCTAATGGGGAAACGCTGGTGTCCGAGTGTAGCGCGTTTGCTAAATACAGATTAGTAATTAGCACATGGATAAACAACATGAAACGTTGCTCTCTTTAACCTCTCTCTAGCGTAGTGAGATGTGATAGAGCAGAAACCGTACACCTGCAGCTTGCAGTTACTTTTCTTTGAAACCACAGACAGTATAAAAGAGTCAGTATTTTACACTGCCCATGCTTCAACATAGTGGAGCTAGCTTCTGTTAGCAAGCGTCACGTTTCCTCAGCCCCCGCTGCTAGCGTTAACAGACACAAGTCAAAAAGTCTAGTTAAGAGGAGCGAAGATCAAATGAAGACGGATGCACTGTTGTACACTGTTAGCTCAACTGGGTTCACTAGCTTAGCTACATAAAGAAGTCCCATTATAAAAGTGCCTACCAATGAAGTGCACAACGGCATGAGCGTCTTCTTCTACGCCGGAAGCACAGCTCCGTGTGAAGGAAATGCTGGGTAGTTACCTGTCGCTAAGCAACGAATGTGCTACTCGGTGCCCTTTGGGGGTGTTATGGCAGGCGATTTATAAATATTTATTTATAGATGGTTAATTTTCAAAATGTATCAAAGTAAAGTGAATAAATGAGTGTGCTTTAATCCAGTAAAATAAAATTACGAAGTTAGATTTAAGTTACTCATACTAGCAGCCAATGAACGTCAACTCTCGCTCTTATGTATTTCGGTGAACGTTAGAAAGAAATTTTTTTTTTTTCTTAAAATAAAACACAGTTTATGATCATGTAAACCTCTAGATTTTAAATGTACAAGTTAAATTACAAGTTTAATATTAGACACACTGTGTATTGTGATGCTTTTTGTTGCATTTAAAAATACAACATTTTAGGCAATTTAAAAAGAGTTGTGCATAGTTCTCAAAAATATTTAAAATAATATATTAAAAATAACCTTAAAGAAAAATCCTTAGAGACTCTGCTTATTCATATGAATCTGGTCCGTGGCGATAATTACAAATTCCAGAAAGCACACATTTTGCTTGGAGCAAAAAATAATTTGCTACCAGGAAATATTCAAGGTATGTTTTCTGTAGAGAACATAGCTGTAATTTAAGGGGTTTTAGCAACTTCAAAACTATATTAATGTGTGTACTACCAGAAAATGTTTTAGTGTTTACGAGTCAAAATCTGGAACAGGTTGAGTGTGGAAGCAATTCAAAAACAGAAATAAAGATAGGGATTTTCCTGATATAGAAAAAGATATTTGGCTTTTAGTATATATCTGTATATCTCTGTTTGTAAACACACAATAATATGGTAATATTTTGGTAAATGGATTGGATCTTTGTAGCACTTTTCAGCTCTATCTGAGCACTCAAAGGACTTTATCCAGCTTGCCTCATTCACCCTTTCATACAAGTACTATTTGTATACATATGCGGTTTCTATCTAATATTTACACATGCTCATACTGAGATTATTTCATCAGAGATGAACTTGGAGTTAGTATCTCACCCAAGGGTATTTGGCATGCAAACTGGAGAAGGCAGGAATTGAACCACCAACCTTCTGATAATTAGATGACCTGCCTGACATCCTGAACTACAACTACAGCCGCCTAACCCTTGCATAGTGTACATATTCTGTGTAACAAAAATAGTAACAACAATAATTTATTATAGTTGTTGATGTTAACACAGAAGCTTAATAAATAACTGATGAATTATGATATAAGGAATTACACAAGTTTTGCCCCTGTACACCACCCTTTAAAACCAAATAATCAATCTGTGATTGTGCAGGCTGCCATCTTCAGTTCAAGGGGTTTGACTAAAACCTTTGTATTAACTGTAAAAATTACAGACTTTTTATACACCACCTACCCTCCATTTTCACAGTCTCAAAAGTTTGGACAGCAGAATGATAAGGTGTTTAGAAGCCGCATCCCTCCTCCTTTCATGGCAGTTTACACAGACTGCCCAAACTGCCCTTTCATGGCAGTTTGGGATTGAAGTTGCTTTTAGTAGTTTTTAACTGGAACTCTCAATATGACGTCAAATTAATGTTTATGAAAGCGATGGTGGCTAAATATCTAAAAAAGCAAAGTTTAGGAGTGGCCAAATCAACAATCTGGTGCATTCTTAAAAAGAAGAAATGCACCAAAGAATGCAGAATTCTTTCCTTGGTTAAGAAAAACTCTGTCACAACATCTAACTGAATGAAGACTACTTGGGGAGCTAGGTGTTTCTAGGTGTATAGGCCTACAGATAAGACAGGTTTTCATTAATGTAAATACAGATGATTTACAACTAGTTGCAAACCACTAATTAACCTCAAGGACATGAAGGCCAGATTAGATTTTGCAAGAAGACTGTCATGGTCCTGAGTCTTTGACCCAGGTTTTTGAGTTTGTTTAGGCTTGCTGTTCTTTCTTTGGGAATATTGAGATTTTAATATTCAGTTTTGATAGTCTCGGAGTTTTGTTACTTGTGTGTCTAGTTTTTGGTTCTTGTTTAATTTCATTCTCTTTCGTGTCTGTCTTAGTCTCACCTCTGTGTGTCCTTCCCAGTGTCCCCAGTGTGTAGTCGATGAAGTCTGTTTATGAATGTCAAGTTCGATCTCTGTCCCTCGCTCTCTCTTTGTCTTTCGCTCTGTCTCGCTCCCTCTACCATGACCGCAACATCTAAAAGAGCCGGCGCAGTTCTGGGAAAAATCTTTGGACAGATGAAACCAAGATGAACTTTTATTAGTTATCGTCATGATGGGATGAAAAAAGAATGGAGAGGGAGGGAAATAGCTCATGATCCAAAGCATACCACATCATCTGTCTTTCCTAGATAGATCGACTGAAAGATTGATAGACAGAATTACCTTCATGCTTATGATGAGTGGATGTAAACTTATGACTGCACATTTATTTAGGGGATTAATTAGAAATATTTCCCAGCACAGTGATGATTTTTGCATTTTAGTAGTTTGTTTTGTTTGGTGGTGTTGTTGTAGTGCACAATAGTTTGAAAGCCAGTGGCGCTTTTTACTTCAGTTACATGGTACTAACCCAGTGAATTACTCCTTGGTATGTCAAATACTAATTTATATTGTAATCACTGTGTGGTCTCATTTGGCACCGATTTAATTTACTTCTCAGTAAAAGTGTGATGCTGCAGCGAGTTGCTGGAGGTCCTGATCTTGTTTCATAATAATCTGGTGGTCTGGGGATTCCGTGCAAAGAGCTGCAAATACAGAATTCCCCAGGTTGCATAACAACAGATTTCCTCCAGGGAAACAAAGTTTTACAGCCCTGAGATGTATCAAGTTCAACTGAGTGTTCCCTCTCCCCCTCCTTCAGGGCCTCCCCTTTCTCCCGCAGCCCCAAGTCCACTGCTTCACTTTGTACGAGACTCTCTAATGTCTCTCCCTGTTACTCTTCACTCAAATGAGTAACTTTCCCCCTATTCTTCTTTTCCCTATTGCACTGTTCAAAGCGAGTGTCAGACACTGCAATTGTCTGCATATGGTGCTTGTAATGTGATGCACATGTGGCTTTCTGTGCATTCACTTTCACAATGATGCTGCTGACTTGAACAACAGTAATTACAGCTAGTTAGTTACCCGTTCTCTGTTTCAGAACTACTGTTATTATCTGGTAATATAGAACTTTGATTTCAGATTTAAGTTTTTAATTTGACTGTAAATTATCACGACTGGGGATGATTGAACAATATTGATGGACAACATATTCGGCTGAATGTCAATTTATTTGCACACATGATATTTATATTTGTATTAATAGTGATGGTAATAATATTACAGGGCACTGTTTTTTTTTAATGGGAAGTGACTTTGTCCTTATGTTCCTTGCTTGCAAGAGTTTTGCAAGTAAGGATTTCAGTGATTTTTGATTTCAGAAAGAAAGAGTCTTGGAACACTGTGTAAGCTGTAAGAATTTATGTCCGATGTGCCTGTGTTGCATCTTTTTTCTTGGACGTCTGCAGCTTCACGTCTGTGACAATCTTCTCTCTTTCTCGTTGGCTTTGGCTTCTCCTCATCCTGCTGGGAATACGCAGCCTTGAGTCTGAAATGTGTTTACATTTTGAGTATGTTACAAATTATCTGCTAAGACTAACTTTGCGTGACTTGGCAGAAGCCTTCACCTTGCTCAGATGTTGTTTGGGTCAAACGTTTTTTTACAGGGTTGCACTCTCATTTTGACTGTCTTTATCTGACAAGGGTTTTCCAAGCCAGATGTGAACCCAGGAAAAAGTTAAAACTCACTATGCTGATGTCTGTCTGTGGGCCTGCACACATGTGCTCATATGAGTGTATGCATGAACGTGTGGTGTAGGCACCTTGCCAACATGTCCGCAATATTTTTCTCAACTGGGAAGAATTCACCTTTTCATAATACAGCAGAAAACCAGAGGCAATTACCTAAACAATCTGACAACATTAATGTATTTTTAAAAAATCTGCTATTGTATATTAATAGTTCTGTTATATCTTAACCTCCCTTATCAGGTTAACTGATGTTATATTGTGTATCAAGGATTGTCCAAGGACATTCAAAATGTTCCCTTGCAGTGTGTTTGTCTTTAATCTACTTAAAGATATCAACATATTTTATTATGCTACTTAATATCCCCAGGGTACTATAGAAATATTAGAGTCTGAAACTAAGTGCTTCTTGTGCAATGTGTCCTTTCAGGATTGTGCTGTTTTCAGTAAGAACAGACTAGAACAATCCCCAAAGACATTTAAGCTCAAACTCACAGCAAAATGCATTTTCTACAGTTTTATCAGTAATTAAAACAAGGCCTGAGTAACACATATTTAAGAGTTGTGCCTGAAAGCATATATATGTGCTTTCTGACTCAGTCCTCATTTCTTTCTTTTAAGTCACTTAATGTTTCCCTGAGAATCATTCAAGCTTAAAAATGCATGTAATACTTTTAACCCAAAGGTAAAACCAGTATTATGTCAACATTTATTAGAAAACTTAGTAAAGAACCTGTTTTAATCTTTATCTTTTATATCTTTAGGTTCTTTGTTATGAGCAGTCTGTCATACATGAAACATAATTTTTTGTAGTAACAATGTGGTTCCCAAAGAGCTATTAGTTGAGAACATGCCATATCTTGGTATGGTGTGCCTCAGACGGTTAATTTTCAAAATGTATCAAAGTAAAGTGAATAAAAGAGTGTGGGTTAGTCCAGTAAAATAAAATGGCAAAGTTAGGGTTAACTCAAATAAATTTAAGAGAAAAGGTGGTGGACAAAATAGAAGCAAGGGAAACAGGGAGAAAAGGCTGAGTTTTGCCAAATCTGATAGGTCTGATAGAGTGATCATTAATACGTCTACAGCCATCTGTAAAACACAGTGGAGGCTCTGTCATGGTGTTGGGGGTCTTGTCACAACTAATGAAACTACAAATGCAGAAAAATGCTGTCAAATTTTGACCCACCATGTAAAACCACCTGGACAGTGCTTGATTGTCATTATTTTTCATCATGACAGTGATCAATAACACATTGCCGTTGCAGTAAAAGCACCTGGATAGAAAAAGACACAGTGGAGCACTATCAGTCATGAATTGACCTCCCCAGAGCCCGAACCTCAACATTATTGAAGCAATGTGGGATCATCTTGACAGAGAACAGAACAAAAGGCAGCCAACATCAAAGAAGAGCTTCCTATTCCTAACTAACTATTACTGAAGACTACTTAAAGAAAGGACAGAAAAGTAGGCCCAAGAGAGTTCAGGGTGTGTTTGAAGAATACAGGTGGTCATACCAAATATTGACATTCATGCTCCGTAGAATTGTTCAAACCTTTTTCACCTTATATACTGTATTTATATATATGTTTGCATGCGCTTCAAAAAATACCTGAACCTGTTTCCAATTTTCCTAGCAGGATATAAAGAAATGAGGGTGGGTCGGGACTTTTGCACAGGAGTATAAATAGATAGATATGACATGTAATGAAGGTGTGCTGACAAAAGACAGAATATTAGGCAAGATAACTTTAAGTAAAGTATCTCTGTTTCTATTCTGAATATGTAAGTAGGTCATTGCTTTTTTCCCCCCTCCAGTTTACTTCCTGAATTTATTTGACCATTTATACCACCTGGTGGACAAAAACAAAACAAAACAAACAAAACCTGAATACAGTGTGCAATACTTTATTTCCACTGTTGCACAGTAAAAGATCCAAGTGGGTTACATTGAAAGAAAACGGGACACCTTAACATACAACATATATTTTACGTAAAGAAAACAAATAACTTACACCCATAAATAACAAGGTACTGTAGTGATATAGTTAGTACTGAGATATTGCAGTGATATCATGAAGAGAGAGCTGGCCTAGAAGTTAAAAGTTACAACTATTTGACGAGTGTGGTGAAAATAAATACATCTCCTGGTGTATTTCTGTCTTTTTCATGCTTAGTAAAATGGGAATGATCCGTAACCTAAAGATAACATCTGTAAAAATAAATATCATAACCTTTTAGTGTACAGGATTGTTCACTCTGATAGAAAGAGATTACATAACATATGCATTTATTATGGTGTTGACTTTGTGTTTTCATTTGGGTATCTTTTAGCAGCGTCAGCAGCAGAATATTTGAGCATTTCAAAGTCACACCCTAAGGCAGAGGGAGTTGGCGAGCATGTACAGTGCATACGGTTGGAACCTGCCAGTCAGTAGCAGCCTTTTTGTGTGGACTTTGCATGTGTTGGATTGGTTTTCGTCTGACATTCCCAAGAAAAAAACAAAAAAACGAACCAAACAGGAACAAGTGTAAGGTTAATAGGTGACTCTAAATTGGCTTTAGGTGTGAGTATGAATATGTATGCCTCCAGCTCGCTTTACAGGATGGTTGATAAATGGATGCCCTGTGTGGTCTGAGCACCATGAGGGGAAAAGAAAGAAAGAAAGAAAGAAAGAAAGAAAGAAAGAAAGAAAGAAAGAAAGAAAGAAAGAAAAACAAGTCCTGCTTGCTTCAGCACATCATGGTCGAGCTTATTGTGGACTATTCTGGTGATCATACGATTGTCCTCACCTGGCTGAATGTAGCTCATTGCTGAACAAGATACAACACAGGACTGTACTGCATCGTATAATTTATATTTGTATTGTATTGTATAGTTTTACTGTATTATATAGAAACACTTTTATAAAGAAGTATTGTTATTCAATTCAAAACACCAATAATATAGAATAGCTTTCATGATATTTCCAGAATTCCTGTTTCAACTTAGTAAAACTGTAAAAAAAAAACTGTTTTGGTGCTCAAATTGAACTTTCTGTTTTCTGTTTTAAAAATGAGAACATTTTGTAAAACAGGTCCTGGCTCATCTGCAACTGGAGTGAAAGTGGAGTGTATTCAAGTGTCTGTTAGCGCGTATAGCATGACTGAATCCACAGATATTTTGCAGATAAGTTCTTTGATTTTTCAGTCTACTCTCCTCTCCTCTGCCTTGCATTTCATAGGGATGAAATGAGATGCAGTGAGCTCCCTCCTGGTCTTCTTCCCTCTCATGGGCTTTCCCTTTTGTGACAGGGCTATGAACATTTCTTTTTTTGTCCACTTGGCCGAGGAGTAAGCATTGAAGTAGTTTTCTAGGAAAACCTCCTTAAAGTTGCAGTTGTCGTTGTAGATCCTCTGTAATGGAAACACATCAAGCCATTAATATGATTAAGTAAACGCTCTGAACTGTTTGTTTTATTTCTGCATGATTTAAATTAGCTGACAACAGCATATGACTTTCCTCCCTGTGGAAAAATATTACCTTTCCTTGCAGCTGTCCAGCTTTGTTCATAGAAATATAATACTGGCTTTTTACGCCTTTTATAGCCAGTATGCCTCCCTCGGACACTGTCCTGATTTCTAGGATACCTGCCGGACAGTCAGAAAAAGGAGGCATGTTACAGGAGAGATAAGGCGCTGTCATCATCCAGCTTTTACTCTGGCTCCAGCTCCACATACATCTTCATTAGCAAACGAGGTGGAGGTTCCTGTGATTAATTGGTCTGTGGTCTCTCTGACTTTATCCAAGCTTTGTTAAGTGGCCTGGGTGGCTTTTACACAAACCACAACCTATGTCATAGCACATATGGGAAACAGATTAGGGCTCTCTTCCCCAGGGACTGAGAAAACTACCTTCTTGCGTGTGCTTTAGACCTGGCATTTAAAGCCTGCTTTTCAAATCTGTGGGAGGGTAAACACATTTATTCTTCCCAATGTGCCATGTTGAAAGGATGGAATTTTTAAAGTATTTAAACACAGAAAATCAAATGATGTAAACAGCAAATTTCTTTGCCCAGAGTCCAAAAACAGGAGATCTTTCGTGAATATTTGAAATGATTACATTATTGGGTAAAGTGAAGTAGATGTTTAGTTATCTTGTAGGACTTTAGCCGAAAATGTAACTTTAAAAAAAAAAAAATCATGTCATGTCAACAGGCTGCACCAATTATCAGTTCATAAATCAAATATCCATAACATTGACCTTTGGTAAAAACATTGCCATCATATATATGAAAAATCCTTTGCATGCTCTAAACATATGATGTTTCTGTTTAAAAATAGCGAATGGTGAGATGTGGCAGTGGCAGCAAAACTAAAATAAATAGAGAAATGTGCTTTTTACAGACTGGCAATCTGGTTCAGAGCTCGTGTTTTTAGGCAATTCAAAACTTTGTTGATTTTTTACATACTCTAGGAATTCTTTCATTTGATAGGCAGAGGGGAAAGTAGGGGGAAGAGGTCTATTAAAGCTCTTTAGGCTGACACTGAGCATGCCACATTTGAGTGTTTGCTAGATCACAAACAGATGGGATCTCCCAATCTTGGAATGTTGTTTGTGCTTTTCTTGCTCTTGATATCTGACTTAATACTACTGACCTTTAACTGTTTACTCATATTTATTTAACCCCGCTTTTAGGTCCCCCCCCCGGCTTCTACTTATTTCAGAGGCAATCTCGAAAGTTCAGTTTAACACTATAAAAGCTACAACCTCATTTGTAAACCTGTTTACAGACTCAGAGTCAGCCAAACGTTTGTTTAATCCACATATATTGGTGGGATTTATCGATGCAACTGCATGCTTGTCGTCTGAGAGCATCATCCCCGTAATGTAACGTGCAACAGCTCCAGTCGTTTGGTGTACTGTGGAAAGATGGATCACATTTTTACACGCATATTGTAAACATTTTGGCTCTGATGCAAAAGCCTCACAAGCTGTCCTCAGTTGAAACAGATTTGCCATCACTCGCTGCCACTGGCTAAGTAAACTACTTTGTGGATAATCCCTAAGTCTACTTTCTGAGCACTGTTGGACCTCAGTGTTTACATTCATTGCGAAATGTGCTCCAGACATAACTTTCACGGAATATTGTTAAATGTGGAGTTAGCTTCAGACTAAACACCTTGTAGTTTCACAGAGGTGCAAGTTTAGCAAATTGATTCCGTTTAGCTTTCGTTTTTGCTGCAAAATACTGCAGGATTTAATCAGGTAATATGTATTTTACTTCGACATTCATCAAATTCGATTTAGAAATGCTTTATTTATCCCCAAAATTGAGCCTTTTCTTCTCGTGAGTTTACTGACCTAAGGTATTTGTCATGTTTTGGCTGCGGTAACACAGTGATTTTCCATCTTTTGGGAAGAAAGCATTTCTAATTCTAATTCTAAATTGCAATGAATTTAGTTGGGTGGCCGTAGAGTATGGTGCAGCCAGTCTACTATGCTACGATTGCTCTGACTCAGCAGAGAACTGTGCCAAAACATATGTCTTTACTTTTATTAGGTTATTTTCCTAGAAGTCCCTGTTTTCCACCTGCTGTTTAGAAATTATTTATTTCCAGCTTGTTGTTTGTCTGACTTTCTGTGAGGGTTAGCATACCTTTTATCAGTATGGCCTCATTTTGCTTGAACCACAAAAAAAAAAAAAGATTTTTATCTTTTACTGAAAACAAAAAACAAAACACTACAATGTAATATAATAAATCACAAAAACAAAGATGAATTTACTAAAAGTGACCTGATATTTTTGTTAGAGGTACAAAGCAAACGTTTCTCATTTTGGTCTCCTATTTTTCCTTTCTGTCTTTGTAATAAAAGACTTTTTGCAATCAGCTTTTAAGGATTTCTTGTTCGCTGCAATCAAAAACATAAATCGCGGATTTATTCCATGTACATCTGCACCATGCTGCTTTCATCAAAGAACTTTGTGTGCTTTTAGCGTGCGACTGTCAGCCGCATATGGGCGTATCAGTTTTTCAGTCTTTCATTGCCAGTTGTTGCACAAGCATCTTTTCCATGAGGCATCTCTCTTTCAAGCCAACATTCCAGCCACGGAGGCACTGTCAGATAGGAGGAAATGATAACTACTTAAAACATCCTCACCATGACACAGAGACTCCTCGTACTATCTCACAACCTTTGAGAAAATGTTGGCCCCTGAGCAACAATTCAAACAAGTAGGTGTGTCAAAAAGCACTTATCACGATTAGCAAATAAAATGTGTCATTAAGTAGTTAGATGGTAATCATTATTTTAAAATATTTGGCTTCTAATTTTAGAAAAGAATAAGTTTGGGCTGGACACAGTGTGGTTGCTGTCTCTGTGTTTGATCTCAGCAGCCAACCACAGATCCATTACAAAATTTGATTTTTCCATTGCTAATATTCTCTCCCACTCTTTTCCCTGATAACTCATTCTGGCGCTCTGAGTACTGAGAGTAAATCAGGCAGAACAAATGTGAATCTGTGTGAGTCTCAGGTCATAAGTCTCCAAGACCCTTCAGTTTACTTCATTACAGCCTGTGCTGTAATTTAACCCATCAAATCTCCCACCTGCTCCATTTTACCTGTCACTTTGGCTGCTCTAACAGAGACACATGACTTATTAACAGAGTAATTATGCTGGGGCTAAAACTGTATAATAACATGTCCCACGTGCACAGCAGTCAGATTCACATACATTTTGGCAAATGCCTGTAATTCAGATATATAGTGGGACCTATAATAAACGTTTGGTCTACACAAAAAGAGCGATGCTTACTGTAGCAGTTGGTAGAGTCTTGAGTACCATTGATATTGCCGGAGTCATCAATAGTTAGGAACCACTGCGTGCCACTGAACAGTTGTCGTATGCGCACATCTCCTCCCTCCATATAGTCATAATTCCTGGTGTGGCGCTCATGTTTGGAGCAGTTCATGATGGCGGCAAGTTGTTCTGGGGTGCAGTCACTGTAGACTACACACACACTGCCAAACAGAAAGATTGCATGCAGGTACAGTCCCGGGAACAGATTTTGAAGGTTCCATGTCAGCATCCATTTGCGCATTATAATACAATGCAGTGGGGATCAGTGAACAACATACTGAAATACAAGATAGAGATCTGTGCGTCGTTCCTCAGCTCAGGGATCTTCTGACCCCTCACTTGTGACCTGCTGGTTTTCGTTACTGCAGCACTGCTTCCTGGCGGGGAGGTGAGACAGAGTGGCTGTAGAGGAAGCAGGTTGGCAGAAGTTGGCTGATTGTATCACGAGATTATGCCCCTCTTTTAAACTTCAGTGACGGCGCACATCTACTGCTCCATCTTCTTGTCCCTCAAGGGGCATTGTAGTCCAGTTCAGGAAATATTATGCAGAATATCACTGTAATAAAGAAACAATGCATTTTAATACTTACATACAAGATTACATTTTCAATCAACTTTCAAAATAGCTTCTGGTTTTCTGTGTTTACACAAGTATGTTTTGTACATTCCCAAGCAGTAAATCAAAATTTGGGTGATGCAGATATACATCTCCCTCTCATGGATCCAGAGCATGAAATATTGCATCACTGGTGCTGTCTATAATTCCTGTACATACATACATAATTTGAAACAAGCAAAATATATAGCTTTAATTGTAACAAACAAATCTGTATTGTAATGACTTACATGTGCTCTGAGTGGTGACAGGAGTTGGCAGAGGTGCGCTCCCTTTCAGCAAGAGTTTTAATTTGAAGGCTCTTTAGATCTAAAGCTGCAGTCTCAGTGGTAAACCAGACCCAGTGATGCAGAAAAGTTAAGCACGAACTGGGAGCTTCTGTGAATTCCCATGGATGTTTCTCGGATTCTGGCAGACTGACTCTGTGCATCGTCCACTGTCGTTGTGCACTCTGCTTAGATAAATGCCTCCTGCTGACCTCACTTGAGAGCAATTAAATCCCAACCAGTCAGCTGTCCCTGGCTGATATGCAATGAAGAAACACCCTCTGCCTGCCTCTCACTGTCACTCAACCACCAGACATGAGAGGGAGCTATAAACTCTTGGAAGACTGAAATCACAAGTACTTTAAGAACATTTGCATGCTCACTCACTCTTGCAGACTCACTCTTGTTACAACCCTTCTGTCTTGTCCAAGAAACATCTTGTGCTTAAATAGACTTGCACTGTGCGTGCCACAGATCTCAGACTGACTCACATTTATTTTATTGACGGTTACAATATTCGCTGTAATGACAAACCTCAAAAGAATTTTTTTCCTATTCAATTTAAATGTCATAATTAATTTGCGGTTTTACTCGGCTGCATTGGATCACTGGTAAGGGGTTTACTGATTGAAGTTAAAAAAATAAAAACTTCAAAGAAGTCCTTTAGTTTTCTTTCTTTTTGAGTCTTAAAGTGGCTAAGGTTATGACTGGCAGGTATCCGTCCAAGCAAGAAAAACAGAAGACGTAACAACTCAGAAGCAGTCGTCTCAGTGTCAAGGGTCATACACTCTTTCACTTTTTAAGTTTGTATTTAAAGCCATAAACTATTGCCTTGCATGCCTGGTGTTTTCCAGGACGCACAACTTCAAAAGTTTATATGGGCCCTAATGATGCGCTCCCCTGGGGAGCTCAGGCCTGCAGCTTGAGAGAGTGGGACCTCTGGTCGCAGCAGGTTTCCTTCTTATCTCTAAACTGGCAGTTGTAAAGACCTCATTCTTTCCTGTTCATCTGTCCCCTCTATCACCTCAGAGACAATTTGAGTTGTGTTTTTTTTTCAGTACACGAGCCAAGAAAATATTACTTAATCTGTTACAAACACCAGAAAAACAGACATTAAAATAAATGCTAAATGCCCAATCTATATAAATCAACATGAACAGACATATAATTCCACAACATTCTATATATTTTTTCAGGTCATCTGAAGACTGTGAAGTTTACAGGATCCGTGTCTATAAAATCCCAAGGTTCTCATGGTGGGTGGATCTGTGTTGTCTGGGCAGGTAGCACCTGGTACGTCCCCCTGAGGCAGAGTGTGTCCGTGAGAGGAACCAGACAAGGTGTTCCCAAGACTCCTATGAAAAAAAATCCCTTCAAAAGAGAGAAATGACCTTACCTGGAATTTTTAACACGAAGTTTAGAAATGTAGTTGGTGAGCCACAAAATACCAAAAAGATCAATTGTACAGTTAATTCTGCCCCAAGTGAAGATACTGCCATGCTCTTTCTTTAGGCCCTGTTCATATCGCCTCTGTCAGTGCGCCCCAGGGCAGCTGTGGCTACAATGTAGCTTGCCATCGCCAGTGTGTGAATGTGTGTGTGAATGGGTGGATGACTGAATGTAGTGTAAAGCGCTTTGGGGTCCTATGGACTAGAAAAGCGCTATACAAATGCAGGCCATTTACCATTTACCATATCAGGCTGACTGAGCTCTTGACTTACTGGTGTACAGTCTCACCCTACTTACCTACACGTATTCATCAGCTTCAGCTGAAATGCAAGCAGATCACAATGATGCATATATTAATAGCATGGACCTGACTTACCCAAAGGAGCTCAGATTTTAGTTGTTTTGCTTTCATTTCCAAAAGGAGCCAGTTGAAGCGAGTGAGCCATCGGATTAGTATGTCTCCCTGCGGAGGCATTATTGGTGTGTCCAATTTAGCACAGACCCTGTTTCATATCCAGAACATCCTTCAAGGATAACTTATCCAGTCAGACTTGGAAAGACATGATAATCTCTTAAGAAGAGCTTCGCATGGCTCAAGAAACGGAGATTTAACATCTAATATGGAATTGCATGCACTGGAAAATGGAAGGAATAATAGAACCCTCTGCTACCAAGTATTCATACATTTTGCTATTTCAGTAGGTAACCTTTTGGACAATGATTTATTCCACTATCCTTCAACCACAGTTTTACCATTTCATAATTTTTGTATTAAGGTAGGAAGAACAGGAAGATGTTGTAAGAACAGACACTATTTCTAGATTATCATTTGCTTGATCAGTGAAGCCTTTTCTCACTTTTGGCGGTATGAGTGGTGTCACAGAAGTGATGCCTCTGGGACTACAAATGTAAAAGTTTGTGTAAATCTTCAAATGCTCCTGGAATGCCTCATTTACAGTTCATAGCACCATTTAAATGTACTCCACTGTAGAGTTTTTCAAAAGTCCAAATTCACAGGTCAACTGCAGCGTCGCTGACCTTATGTGATGTGTTAAGGGGGAGATGGGGAAGTTAATGTCTTGGCACACAGTAGCTAACATGTTGTTTTTTTATGCACTTTATTTTTCAGCACTTATGTGGGGGGTTTCCATTTAATCTTTGTCATAAATATATATTAGTTTTTAGAAACTGTTTTTCTGAATTATCACTGCCCAAGTGCTGTAATTATTTCAGTGACTTCAATGACTTAAGTGCTCTGTTCTCCCTGTTGTTGCCTAAAGACTCACTATTATTTAAAGCATATTTGGAGACATCGTTCTCTTTTTAAAAGTGGTAGTAGTTTATTCAAAGTTTATTTAGTAGCATGAGTAAGCTATTAATTTGTGTAACAATCAAATAAAAGTTGGAGCTCTAACCATATAAGTAGTGGGAGTATAACTACTGTTATGGATGTTAATGTAAAAATGCTTTAATAGGTTATTATGGGTTGTTATGGTGATACTGCAAGCTATGTTTTAGTTGACATGATATATTCTACTGTAATCATAAAGGACATGTACTTAAATCTTGTGTCAATGTGTGCAGACATCTGTGCACTTGGATACAGTGTGTGTTTGCAGGTAGTTTGGCTTTATAGACTGAATTGCTGCCTCAAGGATCAAAGGCACTGTTTGAGGTTTACAGTAGCATATGAAGTACAGTATCTGTAAAGCAGACAAACAAGCAGCCTTCATTCCCGTATGTCTGCCTCAATACTTTATTTCACTCTTTTTCTGAGTTACACGCTGTTGTGACGAATAGAGATCTGTGTTTAGGAATCTTACTAGTCCTTTTAATTGATTCCCATTGCTATGTTGAATGCTATTGAAACCAGCAGGGACTCTGCAAGGATTTAGATGATTGCAGCGTAACACGCAATCATGCAAGCTCACCATGAACCCAAATCCCATTCCAAATCCAGACCAACCAGCAGCTCCAGTTTCAAGACCCCAATGTGTGTCATGCTAGACACTCCAGCATGAACTCACAGTGACACTATTGTCAGTTGGTCTCATTGCTTTTAGAGAAATGAGACCAACTTTATACTTTCACCTACACCTTTGCACCATTTAACTCGCAGATGCAAAGATAATTAAAGAAAATACTCTTGCTTTGGCAGATTTGTCTTGTTTAGCTTTAAAAAAATATCTGTCCTAAGGTACAGTGCATTATTTATTTATGCATTTTTTTGAGCCAACTCTAGGAAGTATTGATCAAAATTTTACCAGATAAAACGACTTAGTGGCTCCAATGAGTTTTTTTCCACTCCCTCGGACAGGAATATTACTCTCTAATTTATCCCTGTTTGGTTCTTAAGAACCTCTTGGAGTGTTAGTACATGAAGTTAGGTTCATAATTTATGATAGTTTCCACTATTATTGCAGAGACATCTGCCTTCACACACGATCTGCTCTCAACACTCTAAAAGCATTCCTCAAGACAGAAGAGCCTATCTCTGTCGCTCTCTCTGTGCTCTTTCCCTTGTCTTCCAATGATATAACTACATTTATGTTGGAAGATTGGATGATCTCTAAGGTCACTCTATTCTTAGCGCTGTTTTGGACTGTTTGGTTTAGCTTTTGCTTTCTAAATTCCATGGTAATTGGGGGATCTCTTGGGATGGAGCCTCACAACATTAGCTCTGACTATAAATAACTGTAACTTAGAAACACACAGTGTACACTTGTACACGGACACAATTTTACCCAAATAAGAGATGTTTTACAGTAGATATATTGATAATAGTATATTTATTTCAAGCAAATCAAATGTGTGCAATTTTGCTAACAATTTAAGGTGTGAGAAAAGTAAGCTCAGCATGCATATACAGTGTCACACATTGCACTGTTGCTATTGTGCACATTTGATTATGTTATTAATCTGAAAGAGTATCGATTTAATAACAGTACATAATGGCTGTATGCTGAGGTGGTAAAGATGTGGTAAAATACAAAAAGTGCATATTTGTTTTTCATATAAAAATACTTTGGTTTGGAGGCAGTTACAATGCATTAGTGGTGGTGTAATCAGCCTGGTTGCAGAATGTGAACTGGCGTTGTGCTTCGCTGTCGGGGGAATACTCTGATCCCAGCTAATGCAGGAACAGCTGTTAGGGATCACAGTCTTAACTACTCACCATATCTGCTCATGTATCAGAAAAAGCAGAGCTTTGCTTATAAAAACATGCCCTATCTTAGTAGCTTTGTAGGAGAAAGAGGTTTAAAACGAGCAGGTTTTAGTTCCTGAGTCAAAACAGTGGACAGTTTACATAACCTCTAATTAAGTTCACATTTATAATTTGAAGCATGAATGCATGAAGAAAAGATACCAGCTGTTTTTAGTGTTATAAATATGTCAGTTTTGGACCTTGTAATTTTTTTCAGTAGCTGTTTACTAATTTCCATGTATTTTACGAGAACATGAGCCCTGTTATCTCTCATGCAATGTCATACTCTCATCTCCTGTTTTGCTACTTGTAGCAAAGAGCACTCTCAAGCCACATTTTCCAATATTTAAGCTGAGATTTGCAAAAACCATAGTAGATGATTCATATAATTTCATTACTGTTCAGTGACCTCTTGTTCCCTAAAGATGGTGACATCGCCATTTTCCTTTAATGTACAGGGTGGGCCATTTATATGGATACACC